ACAAATTTCCTGGAATTCGTAGTGATTGCCTACGTGGCGTTTTGTTAAATGTTTGCAGCTTTACTTTTTTATTGGCCTCGATATATGTATAATTATCAAACAGTATTTTCGATGAAACTGCATTTGATGCCTCTTTTATCATTCGCAAATGACTTATCTTATATATCCGCTTTTTTAATCTCTTGATATAGGAAATGACGTATTCCAAAACATCGAAATTATGAATAAATTGTTAATGAATAAGTAGATAATAACTGAAAGGATAACTATTATTTTATTGCTCTATCCTCTTAAAATGTGAGATTGAAACTGATCACCTTTGCTTATTTCATTATAGTGTTACAGTGAGAGTACTAACTTAAAACTATTATAAAATAGTAGATAGGGACCCTATATATCGCTACACGACTAGTTCTTAGCTTATGCATAGTTTTAGTAGTATAGTCTGATAAGATATATCCGTACATGGTATACTCGGTTGTCTATTTCAATCAGTTGAAAACCAGGTCGGTAAATTGAAAGCTATTGATCAGAGTATTCCACTTTAGAAGCCATATTTTGCCATCTTTTCCTAGATTCAGTTCTATTGCTACAGTAACAACAAAATGGCTACATATGACTGTGATAAAAAAGTCAATTGTTTGGTAATGCAACTACACTTATTTAATAAGGCATTAACGGCGGTGGGGTGCGAGGAATTTTTTGGTCGGGATATTCCGCTAGCATAATGTAAAATCTCACTTTTTCCTGTAATATTTCCATTAATAGCAGTACTAATATAAAATTACAGTGCCAATTTCGAAATGATCATAAGTGATAAGCGTCATAGGAAATACATTTTGGGGGAGTTCTGTCAAATCTTAGAGCCTATTATTGTATTAGTTGAGAGACAATCAATTATATCTATCTCCTATCATCTAAGTAATGTGTTAGAAATAAAATGGTCGAGTTAAGTTCAATTTCCTTACTTGAACCGTTCAATATCTGATTATGCTCTTAAATTATTTATATGAGAGAGCAATTAAAATACTGCATGCTAACTTTTTAAAATGACTACGATATTGAAATCTTAAAATAGATCTAAAAAATAGATTGATGGCAGTAATTAGTTAAGCCTTACAGGAAAACATATTATCAAATTTCTATCTATACTCATAATGGTAGTAGTAGTAGGAGGAAAATTGATGGTGGTATGGTGCAATTTTTAAACGAATAAATCTTTAACTTGATGGTGATCTGTCTGCTAAAACTACGTTCAAGCATGTGAAACTCTAATTATACCGCTGTTGAGATAAAAGATGTTGGAATTGTTTTAGTATAATAATTAATAGAATTGAAATTGCAAGGCAGTAAAAAGAAGAAAATAGTTTGAAAGCTTTATTGGAAATATAATGTTCACTGCATTTGCGTTCGATCGTTAATAAAGATGCTATTGGTTGCTTGATAAACTTATAAAATAAAAGTAATAGCCTAGTAGAATTAAAGGGATAGCGTCATTGCAACTAGCTTATTTTCTGCCGAAGCTGATTTGGTAAATTTAGAAATAGCAGTATAACCATTTATTAAGCAGTAGGCGGAGAGAATTATTTCGATGTAAATCTTATGGTGTGGTTGTGAGAGTTAGAAAGAATTTCATCGACTGAAGCGCTTCTAACACTAGATGAATGTCCGAAAAAACGAATGAAACTGCTTTAAAAATCAAAAACGCTTTCTCGATAGATCGATAAGATCGTTCGAAGTCGGTATATGACTAACTGAAAATCAATTCTAGGGCGTATAAATGCTAAGAAATAGTGATTGTCTAAATGAATGGGCTATTGTTCATTAACTTTATAATTAAATCCATGAATGGGTATAGAAAATATATGAAAAATTAAGACTAGACACTCTAGACATGAATATTGTTGCCGGTTTCTGTTTACTGCCCACTTTAAAAATAAATTCGCGATTTTATCAGAAATCTTTTGTCAGAATGAATATCTTCTCTACCTAAGTATACAAATTTAACATAATATCTATACTGATCAATAAATATCGATGATGGATAAAGTTTGAAATTGTCGCAGTGTATAATTTTAGGTTCTACTCTAAGGCTTCGCAAAGGTTGCTTTCATCTATTTATATAATTAAAAAATTAATATTGTAGTGCTGCCGTTTAATACTGTTCATATCATTTCGCAGTTCACTATGCTTATTTATCGTCATGTTATTTCGAAATTTGGCTAAAAATTGCCACAATTGTTAATTTCTTTTGTGCATAATAAATTTTCTATGTGGGAATATTCGATAATACTTTCCTGTGGATGTGATGGTTAATAAATAGCCATAAGGGTTGTCCGAAAACGGTACCAAGTAATTGTATTTTAGATCGGACACAATGTTGCACTTCTTTTATTGAATTTCTTCATTCAGTATTATCGCTTTCATAGACATGCTACGTGATAATGCCTTCTGTTAAATTTAAGATTAGTGCTAGGACTGTAAAGATTAAATCTAAGCGTGTGTAAGTAGACTACAATTCATTCAAATGTAATATAGCCTAATTTTATATTGCAATCCGAGTAAATGATGCAATTTAGTACTAATAAGATAAACAACGATGCTTTTAATGCACTTCAAACTTAATAAATTCTCCAGATATACAACTACTGTACTGTCTTCATTACCTTTGTAAATCAAATATATTTGGCTTTGAATACAGCTTTCCTGTTATTCTACTTAGTAGAATATGCTGAATGCCTTCATTATTATTATCTTTCATTTCAGATACAATGCAACTTTACATTGAATTCCTTAATAAATGACGAACGCTACAAAAATGTAATAAATAATAATGCTTTCTGTACTGTTTAATTAACCTAAGTAAATCTGTTAAAATGACATGCATGACCATCACTAGTAAATTACAATCCAATTTAAAGATCTGCGGCATACTTGTTATTATATTTGGTAAGGCAAACTAAATACTTTTAAATATATATAGTGTATAAGGCTGCCTTCCTGTAGATGTAAGATTATGATTATTGCTATATGAAATTGTTAGTCAATAATTTGTATTTTATTACAACAGAAAATTATAAGTTACATTACATCAAAAGTATTACAGCGTTCTTGTTATCCAATTTAGTAGCACATATTAAATATTTTCATAAAGTATAATTCATAGGGCTATCTTTCAATGGATGTAAAGATTACTATTAGGACTGTATGAAATATTTGGTACATTAATTGTGTTACATTTCAACGGAAAAGAGTAAATTATGTTCCAGCTTAAATTATTACAGTATTCTTGTTATTATATTTAGTAGCACATACTAAATGCTTTCATACATGCATAATATATAAAGCTGTCTTTCTGTGGATGTAAAGATTACCATTGTAGCTATGCAAAACATTTAATAAATTAATTTGAAGCTAATTTAATTTAAAAAAACAGTAATGCTGTTTTCTTCAGTGCTTTAATTTAAGTTAACGGTATTTAATCTTCGTATTGAGCATTAACACCAGAATGTAAGTTGTAATTATCTTTCTTTGCTTTACCTTAAAATAATTGCCTACGCTATTCAGGTATTTGTCTCTCTGGTGGAATCGATTTTAATCACGTTATTACTGTCTAGTTTGCACAAATAATTAGCAACGTCTACGATATATTAAATTTTTAATCAGATAATGTTATTATTGTATTCTATTTAAAGTTAGATTAATTCTATTTTCAATAAATGCTATGGAAGTGTAACAACTAAGACTCGATGTTACACTAGGTGATGAATTATCTGATCTATAAATGAAACATTTTCAGTTTAATCTTGATTATTCAGAAAATTTATCAATTTATATTGATCGATAAACTTAAGTAAATGATTAAAAAATGGGGCTATACTGCACCGCAGAGGAATCCAAAATTACTTTATGCCTGCACTATCAACGTTTACAAAGACACATTAGTGCGATTTATAATTCAAATATTAGCTAATTAGTTAAAGAATTAAGTAAGTAATTTACGATTACAAGAATAATTAAAAAAATCCTATATGCAATGTATGAAAAAGTCATATGTAGTTTAATGTGCCGTCATCAATTAGTGCCATACCATTTAATAATACGACATGATGTTGCGTCTACAGTAAGCTTGGTTTACTATGTAGCAAAGTCGTGAGAGAATACTTATCCGCTCTACTCTAAATGAATCCGTTCAATATTCTATCACGCTACAAAATATTTATTTCATATATAATATTATGTATTTGTTTGCTGAGGTAATCCTTAAAGAAATTCAATATTTATTTCAACATTGGATTCTACAATCAATAACATATCCATTGCGGTTAACCAAAGTTCTATAAAGCTTTGAATAGGTTTTGATTTTTAATAAATACCAAGATCCATCCATCTTACGCGCAAAATACATATAAATTTTCTATTTACTTCAAGTTAAGAATAGTGACTTGAAAATAGTTTTTATTAAATATTCAATTTGAATCGTCTGGATATAACCGTAGCCAGTGAAATCTGCATTATAGTTCGCATAAAATTTTCAATTTATTGACGAATGCATTGGCTGGATATAAAATGCGTAAGTCAATAAATTGAAAAACGATAACTAGATTATGGTACATAGTGATTTGGTCGATCTTAGTAATATGCGGCACAATTTTTATCAAGTAGGGAGTACTACAAGAATATGAAGAGAAATATAGATAAATACTGACGAGAGTTATTGTTCTTCACATATTTGTAATGCCGTGTCTAGATATAGCGTAAGTGCTAATAGGAAAAGTAAGGCATGATTGATTGATACCGATTAGAAATATAAACTTCTACTAATTACTAATGTCTTTACAGTGTGCACCATCATATCAATTTTCCACTGAAGGTTTTATCCACACTGTAACAGCTACGATATTTAAATTTCATAGCCTTATTGTCATCACTTTTATAGGCTAGACCCTATAATCGCGATCTTAAAGGAATTGTCGTACTTACAGATAAAATTTAATGACTTAAATTCTATTCGAAGGATTGGATAGCGCCTTCCTGGCGGTAGGAGAATCATTTATTGCTGGTGTTTGCGATGTCTTTCCTTTAGAAGACCACCTTGGTCGATGATGATATCTATGACAAGCTTTAAAAGCATCCGTTATATCTTGTCTCATCTGCGTGCTAGTAATAACATAAATGACAGGATTGCACATGCAATGCGCAAATGTCATCCAAATTGTCGCTTCCAGAACGAAAGTGACTAAAAATTTAACCTTGTAAAATGTAGGAACAGAAGTGATTAATAGTGAAAGTAATTGATAAGGGAAACAGCAAACAAGGAAAACAGCAGATGTTATTGACATAGTGATGATCACTTTATGTTTATAATGATGAATTGAAGAATTGGATAATCTAGATCCCATTCGAGTTAGTTTAATGCCAATATATATGTGGATAATACATATGAGCAGAAATGGTAGAAAGACGAATAAGGTCGACGAGCAGATGACATAAATTTTTTGAAGTTGTCTCGTTGGCCAAACTTGTCGACATTGTTGGCCGTTTCGGCTTGTTGTCACTTTTAAAAATATGAGTGGCGGAATAGCACTTAAAGTTGACAATATCCATATCGATGAAATAGCTGCAATAAGATATTTTTTAGGTATCCCATTGGTTAAAGTTAAATTGAGTGAACGATAGCGATCAAATGCAATAATGAGCAATGTTAGCCACGAGGCATAAAATCCACAAGTTTGCAATAAGTAAATTAATTTACAGACTATAGGACCAAAGATAAATGTTCGTGTCAGTAAGAGAACCATGATGACGGGGATTGTTAATGTAACCATTAAATCGGCAATGGCTAAATTTAGTATGCAGACGTTATTACTCGATCGAAATTTCTTTTTCCAAATTAAAATGGAACAGATTAAAATATTACCAAGTAAGGAGAGTAAAAATATAGATGCATAACCAATTTCAGCAAAGATGACATTAAGAGATATGTGAGGAGGCTCTAATATTATAGAATGATTAGTTGCATTATTTAATCCAGCCATGATTACTTTAAAGATGTCAGTAAGGTTGGATAATTATTAGAATACTCTAGAACTTGAGGATTGATAGGATTTTAGAAAATAAAGATGATGTGATCTTATTGAATGGAGTCAGTTTTAAACGTCTTACTAACTTAATGTGTGAAGATAGTATGGTAGTAAAATAGTATTATTGAGACACTCTAGGGTTAAATCGAGCTTTCGAAGGAAATAAAAACGATACTTTAATAAGTTCTTTATAAAACGACGATTAAGTACTTTAATAAATGCAAATACTGTAATACTGCTGCGAGAATTATGAATTAATCAATCAATTTTAAATTTATAGAAATACCTTGCTTTCTATTTGAATCGAACAAAGTAAATGTCATACGGATATGATTGTATATTTATAGATTCGGATTATCTGTAGATGTATTATGATGGTATTTATATTTGCTTATTTGTGATGTTAACTGACATTGATTAATTAATTAGCTCGCCATTTGCTTGAATAATTTCAGTTCTTACATTGCTTTGATTTTAATATTACGCAACATCATGGGTTTATGTTGATGTTTTATTATTTAAAGAAATCTAGAATAAATCATCAAAGTGAAACAACAACGCTTTGTAATATTGAAATTAAGAACTATAGATTGATCGAGCAGTTTTTAATATTATTATTGAATTGATAATGTAAGAGAAAGAAATGTATTCTTCTGGGATTCATATTTATTTTTGAAGGCAGATAGACAAATACAACTGTATACTTATCCTTGCTGGATCTAAGATTGATCTTGTTAATGTTAAAGGAATATGATTGAAGATGAATGCTCAGCGGATGAAAACAAGCAGCAATAGTAATAAATTATTTTCTCATTTGTTCCTTTCAGCTATATGTGAAATTGATTGTACATCTAGAATTAATAATCAACATGAACTTCAATATACTTTATATTGTGACCGTAGGCGAAATAAATTCCGGTTGTTGTTGACTTAATTAATTGTAGCTTTATTTAGAATAGAATATCTATAGCAAATTAAAAGTGGGTAAATATAAAAGTTTTTTACGACTTTTTATTAATCAAAAGCGATCAATGACGCATTACTAATATTAAGGTTGCGATATTCTGATATGAGCTATTTCTTGTAAAGAGGAAAAGTCTCAATAAGAAACAAAGCCCTACCGAAAAATCCTCATCGGGAGCTTTAAAATTGAAAATTCAGATATCTTTTTCTCAGTTGCACTATTTAAATTAAATAAAAAAATATGCAAACTCCATTAATCGTTTTCTATAGAGGTAATATTATTAAAAAATGATGAAAACAGCTATAATTATATTAATGCGTATTGAAATCACAGAAACCTGCATCTCAATGACAGTGAATAATTTTTTTCATTTTCATGCTATTGAGAATTAGAATTGATCTTATCCAGCTATTACAATACTATGGTAAGAATTACATTTGTTTAGTCATTTTAGTAATACAGTTGTCAATTTTAATAACACTTTTCGCACGGATCGTACGTATATTGTAACAAGCTCATTTTTCAGCTTTCATTCGCTTTCTCTATACAAGTATTGGCAAGCTTTGTTTAAAACTAAGCCTAGTAGGATATTTATTACTCTTATATTCCTTTCTTAGTAATAAATAGTACCTATATTCTTAATTAGTTTTATGACGATGTTATCAAGCCTACGTTAAGTTATTTCTATATTGAATTAATTTGTCCTCTAATTAGTCTAAAAGTAAGCTAAAAAGGATCGCTAAAAGGTTAGAAGTGATATTAGATTCATGATGATTATGCTTATAAGGTAATCAGAGTTTACTAAGGACTTCCATTGTAGTTTGATTTATTAATCATTTTTTAGATGATTAACACATCACCACTAGCTGTATATAGCCTTCATTTCTTTATGTAAACGGCAGCTAATATTAGTTTCTCTGTTTCAAACAGTATGTTAACAGTTGTTTTTATAAATAAAATATGCATCCAATTTATTTGCTAATTTGTCTTCTAAGATATTGAATTCGTAGATGGGTGATAACTAGGTAGCTACTAGGAAGGAAGTACATACGTTGAAAATTTTAGCTGATTTCGATTTCGTCTGTGTTTGAATTCGTGATACTTCGTTCATACGATTGGGTTAGTGAGATACAAAATTTATTTATTCATTGTGCATAGTAGACTTGCTCAACTTTAAACAAATATTTAAAAGTTTTTGCTTTCATTTGCAATGTTTTGGCCAATTATTAATTAATGAATTTAAAATGGCGGCCAAAATGAATTTTTTTACTCTTTATTCAAATACTCACAACTAGCTAATATGATTTTATTAGGTGGAGTTTCTGCTAGCTAGTACATTCAGTTTAACTGTATCGACCAAGACATATTCAATACAAAGTATGTCTGGAAAAAATAGCTGCATTTGCCACTAGCTTGAATACTTTATGTATTATTCACAGTAACTATAAATGTCATCGACTACACAGCTTTATGGTTCCTTAGCCTAAAGCACCACTGCCTACGTTTTTCAGATTTACTTACTTTAATTAAAATTTGATCAAGCATATCATTGAACATGGATCTATAAATTTATATTAAGAAATTTCTTTTATTGCCTTCGAATATTCTACCGTACTACTCCATTTTTAGATATTTCATGAAGCAGCTTAAAACCATTAACTATTTTTATTACTCATAATATCAGAAATGAAAGGACAATTACATAGGATATTCGAACTAATCACCTTAAATGACCATGCTTTTAAATGCTATACAAGTCTTAAGAAAATCGTTTGATTATTTGCGTTCAACAAAATTTAGTGCAAATTAGTTTATTCATACACATTTAATTTCACTAAATCGAATTTGCTTGTACTCGGGGATTGATAATTATAATAGATCATTTCACTATTTGAAGCTTACATTTGTGGTCTAGAATTTATCCATTAAAATGGCAATTATTCCTTTAAATGTTATTGAACTCTGAATCTATCGATAAGCGGTATTGAATTCCTTTACATTTCAAATATCATGAAAATTTATCATACATTTTAGGTAAAACGTAGGGCAATAATCTAAAGTAATACAATAAAATTAAACAAGATCAGACTCTTGGACAAGCTGATGATCTCTATAATAATGATATTACTACGGTAGAGATCGGTCACCTACCGATGCTAGCACAGTTAAATTAAATTCGGTTTATCTTCTATATTAGAACCGAAATCTTGATAAGTTAAAGTAGACAGATGCATTTATTATTCTACAGTGACGTAGTTTATTAACTTTGAACTTGACTTTATCGGAAGCATATACTATTTATATTGAAATTCGTATTTGTGATATCATCAAAATTTTTTCTAAACAGTTTTATCAGTGACTTAGTATATTTTAACCGTAGTCTAAAATCGATGTCAAGGCTATTTAATATTGCTATTTAAAAACTAAAATTTGCCTGCTCTACTTGGCACCGTCATGGTACTCTCTAGGTTGTAAAAGGATGGATTTTATCTTATATTTTTAATTTAAATTTGGAATTTAACTCTTTAGTGGTACTTTTCTATAAGCTAGTATCATGGTGTCAATTCTATATACCCAAAGTCCAAATTCCGATAAAATAATGCTGTAATATTAAAAATATATGAATTAAATTGCAGGTATGACTGGCACCTTGTTAATATATTAATGAATAGAATACGCTTCCTTTAAGTTGTTTGTATTCCATAATTACATATGCTAAGTCTAAAGTACATATGGCATATAATAGATAAACATCTCATAATTGAAAAGAAAAAAAAATGGGTAAACAGTTTAGCTAATTTACGTAACTGGAAGGCAATTGTATTCTAAAATTATAGCTTTTGATTTTAGACGGTATGTTCAGTGACATAATTAATGTTCAAATAACGATTTTAAACATTACATTATCCATACTTTACAAATTACTACGTCAAATTATCTTACCGCTATGATGTTTTCTTCACATATTTATTCTAGAACTAACATGCTTTCACTTTTGACAATTCAAACATGATGTTTCTAATTTACTCTGATCGACACATTAGTTTTCAAAATGATATACTGAAAGATGAACATTGAGGTAATAACTATTGAAGAATTTCAATATTCGAGTGAAGATATGAGCGTGTTATTACTCCTTAATTATGTAAAGTAAATTGTGTGGATTAGTGTTAACTAGGGTAACGGAAAGCGATTTCAATTGAAAACATTCACAAGCTCTCAAACAATGATTAATTATTACAATCGACTTCGTAAGTTTCGCAATGTTGCAGTGCTGGTAAATATGGAGCTGTAATAGCAATTAAATTGTAATTTTACTGATGATAGATCAAATTTTCATGAAAAATGATAGCTATTTTTACTTAGAATCGCGTCTTCAACGGAATTTAATAATATCAAAAGAAAAATTTTAAAACAATATAGAATAATTACTTGGTCGTATACTTATTCTAAAAAATCTAATATAGCGATCGGTACCTTAATTAAGAACTAACTAAAGAAATTGGCAGCTATTTTTAGATTGTAAGCTTAACCAGTACATTTCTTTCTGTTGAAGAGGTTGGTAAGGTCAGGCCGAGAAAGTCATTTTGTTGATAAAATTTTGATGAATTTTTTATGTTAACTCTTTTTATGGGGAAAGTAAAATCGCTAACATCCAGTTACATTGATTTAGTACCCTTATTGGCCAACTTTTGTTAATTATTTCATCAGCCATCGAAAATTACCCTCGAAATGTCTTTGCATCAGTCACATATTCTACTTTACCATAGTAATATTGAATACGAAATGCACGTTTTAGACAAAACTATATTATGAGACTAATGCAGTTATTCTGGGAAAACTGAATAAGTTTTCATCGTAGGGTTTTTGGTATGGTGTTCATTGCTCTCTACGACTTATCAGTTCTTGGGACATTCATTTAAAAATAGTAATCATTACTAATGTATAATCGAAAATAGATTCAGTACTTTTGCACCTGCACCTTAATATA